TTTATTTTTATATTCATTCGTTTTAATATGAAATATGGTCTATATTATAATTAAGCAACTTAAAATTTTCTTGAAAATTATATATTCATTTTAATATCATATTTTATTTAATTAATTAAATTTATTTTAAATTCAGCTGTACAATATTATTTAAAAATATTTTACATTAATTTATTTCTAACTTCCTAAATAAAGTAAATCATAGAATGTAGGGCATAATAAAATTAAAAAATTAATTTATCTTATAAATACTGAAATTTTAAAAGTTTGTGTCTATTTCTTTAAAATGTAATATATAGACTAATAAATTTATAATTTATCGATTAACTAAATAATGGAAAAAAATTTTAAATAATTGTATATATATTAAATTCTTCAGAAGTAAATACTAGATTTAAAAATACAACATTTATAATATATATATCGTAATCTAAATAAGCCAAACTAGTTTTCAATGTTAGAAATTGCTTATTAAAATATTATATAATTGTAAAATGATTGTATATTTATTTTGTATTATTTTTTCCAAAATAATTAATTATTTAATAAAATTAATAGATCTTATAGCAAAAGTTGGAGAAATATTATTTGAAATATTGTTTTACGTTTACCATACTGTAAATAATAATTTTTCAATTATAGTAATCAATTAGATAGAATAAATGATTTATAATATAATTAAAATCAATTGCATTATTTTTACATATTTTTCAAGATTATTTTGCCTTAATTTTTTTCTTCCCTTGCATGCACGCTATTGTCATAACGTACCAACTCACTTAACTCGCTTATTCACGATCTCTCTCACTTTCGTCTCCCTCTTTCTCTGTTACTCCCCCCCCCCTCTCTATACTTATATACGTATATATATATATATATATATATATGTCTCTCTCCATCTCTATCGTTGTTTTTCGATTGCTTTAAGTTTACCAGCTTTTTTTCTTCATCTGCAGCATACGCGACAAAACTTCGTACTGAAACCGACGTCGAGACTGAAAACTTCTCTATATACCATTCTGCACCCCTCCAAAGAAACAGATGAGAGGGCGAAATTGACGGTCGTATCTTCCTTCTTCGGGAAAACTTTCTTTCTCCCCCTCCTGACTTTATCAAAAAGTTTTACCGCCATGCGAAACAGGAAAGTTATAACTTTAGAGCGCATATAAAGACCTGATATTATTCAGCCGATTTAAAAAATTTTATTTCCTAAATTTTAGGCTTATATTTAACGATATATAATTTATCATTTAGAAATTCTGTCATTATATTTTAAACTATTAAAATATTAACAGTTAGAATATCTATTACAATAAAAGGATTCTCTCCTATAGTAAATCCTCCTCGAATATAAAATTAGAACTTAAAGAAAACAAAGCTCAAAAAGGTGTTTACAATATTTCTTGTAATTGAATAAATGCTTAAAAGAAATTAATTTTCATAGTACAATTTTATATATTCAATAATATTGAATAAAAAAAAATTAAGTGATTGATTAAAACTTAAGAATACTGCTTTAATAGAACAATAAATACAAGAATTATTCGATAATTTCAGATTCGATGATTTCCTAAGTATAGTAATAGTTGAATTTAAAATCAATAATTGCTCTATATTGTATTTAATAAGAAATCTTATTTAACATCATAAAGACACTGACAATAAATATCATAAACTTTACGTCAAAATGACTATATATTATAAAAACTGTTAATGGTAAACAGTAATTAAAATGAAATTAATATGTTTATTCGAATTTTAAATAAGTGATCATTTCATTTTATACTGTTGATAATTTCATTAAATTTAAAAAATATATAAATTCTGTGTGTGTATGTGTGTACATATTCCTGGCATTATAAAGATGCATCTATATTTTATAATAATAGGTATGAATGTAAAATTGCAATGTATATTTATATAAACAATTATATAAAAACGAATACAAAGACATCTGTGAGACAATAATGCTACAAATGTAGGAAATAGATAAGTGTTATATACTATATGTATTTGTTTATTCTTTGGATATAATTTTAATATAAAAAAGAATCATAATATACATCAAAGCTCCTCAATTTTCGCATTGACATTAAGTAGAGAAAACTAAAACGTTATTTTAAATTTAATCGCCAACCTCCACATCATATACTGTAAATGTAATATGCATGAACCCAAAAAAACGAATCAATGTAATATTCATTGATTAGATTATTCAAAAGCAATATCTCATATAAAAATAATAAAAATGTAAATGCAATTACTAAATAAAAATCTTTACAGAAAATTAATGTCAAAATGTATAAAAAAATTAAAATAATACCAAAATTGTATTTATGTATTCCATAATTTAGCTATTTATTGTAATATAATGTATATATAAAAATTTATAACAATTTGTAAGAAAAAATTCTTACAATTCTATAATTAATATAAATAAAGAAAATTTATTTATTTCAATGAAGAATAGTTTTTGATAAATTAATGAATACTATAAAAAGAAAATATTTAGAAAAGAAATGTTTAAATACTGTATTTTTATATCATGTGTCCAACTTTTATCATTTGCAAATAATTTTTTTTTTTTATTCTTTTAAATAAGTATGTTTAAATTCATGACTAATTAAACTTCATTAGATCAGTAACTTTTGAAAAAAGTTCATTCTGAATCATAACATTATAATAAGATAATAATGTTAAAGATTATAAATTAATTATAAATTGTACGTCGATCTAAGTACGTTAGTAATAATGTAATATTAAGATTTTATATTTATATATCAACCGTGATAATATATTAATATCCAATACATTTTTATAATAAAGATATTTATTATATGATTACTCATATTGTGTGCAACTTAAATTAAAAATAAGATAACAAAAATAGTATTTTAGAAAAAATAAATTTAAGATTAGAATTTAATTATTTATATTCTAGTATAAAAATTTGCTATTTCGTATATATTTAAAAGGCATATAATAAAATAAATAATTAAAAGAATTAAAATCATAGAATTTTTTATTTTAATTATTTTTACTATAAAATTTATCAAGATATTAAAAATAATAATTATTTTATTTTAATCATACAAAATTGTAATTATTATTATTTTATAATATTCTAAATACAGTTATTTTTTAAGAATCGCTATTTGATTAAAAACTAAAATCAATAGATCTTAATTAAAAAATTATATACATAAATGATAAATGAATAAAATTATGATGTATTAAAGATGAAAGTAATATTATAAATAACACAATCGATTAAATAATAAAATTGAAAATTAATTATTGCATTTCTTATAGATATTAACAAGGAATTCACAAGAATATTATAAGACACTCTATAATATTCTAAATTTGAATTAAGAAAATACTTTATTATATATTGCATATACATTTTATTATGGAAACAATGTAATCAATTTTCAGATTAGTTGTTGTAGCCTTTATTTATTTAAATAATTTTGAAATTGTATACCGTTCCTGATTCTATGCATGTTTTATTTACTGATTAATCATAGTATTAGTAGTTTATTAATAGTATATTATTAACAATTGGTAATCACTGCAGAAAAATGCAAAGATAATAGAGGTAACTTCAAATTTCTTTATCACAAACGTATTATTGACATTTATATTTTAGCAATTATTGCCTGTTATTAAGGCTACTAAAATTCAATAGTTCTGACCAATGAAAATAATATTGATGCTAAGGCTTTAAAAAATAATAAAAATATTCTTTTTTAATTATGAAATAACAAATCAATAGATTATTAGATGTTCTATTAATAAAAATGTATTTTATTATCTGCGCTTAGAGTAGGAATTTTACATATTTGTTCATTTATTTGTTATAAAAATAAAATTCTTTAATGTACCTAATCAATAAATACACGTTTCGATCTAATTTTATACGTAACTGTGTACATTATTGTAGTAATAAATTAATATAAATTGTTCATGAATTCATAATGAATCTGTATCTACTGCAACATTCAACATCATAGTATAAATTTAGAAAAAATTAATACATAGAGTTTAAATGGAAAAATCATTTTTTAAAAATAATATAATTTTTATAAAATATGAAAAATATTTTTAAAATGATACAAAATTTGCAAAGATTAAACAAAAACATTTACTTCATAGTATTGATTTTGATTACATTTATATTTTTTCTTTTTCATTGATTTAATTAAATAACTTTAACCATAAATATATATTAAAATATATTAATTTATCATGTATTTGATAGAGTAAATATCAATTGTTATTTAAATAAATCAACAAAACAACAATGTGTGTGTGTGTGTGTGTGTGTGTGTGTGTGTGTGTGTGATTTATACATTGTTTAGTTCACTTGTATTGATTTTTAGACAATACAAGAAATTATATAAGATATATCAAAAATTTATAAAATGGCGCATCGTTTGAAAAATCACAATATATTAATATCACAGTTTATATGCATCATCGCATGGTACATCAATTAAAATAAAGACAAATCCTTATCGTGAACTTGATTGCATTTGCGCATGCGCGTCCGTGATTACTAATGACATTTGCGACAATGAAAAAATTGTAATGTAAAAAAAATGCTTATCAATAAGGAAAAAAAATATGTTTAATGTAAATTAAAATTACAGAGATAAGAAATGGAAAAGTGAGTAAAAGAAAAAGTATGAGTGGGCGGGAGCGTGAGCGAGAAAAGGAAATGGCAGAAGAAAACGTGAGAAAGAAAGAGAGTGTGCGTTCGCGTATGCGCGCGCGCGTGCAAGTGTGCGCCTGTGTACGATTAGAGAGGGCGTAAGAGAGACAGAAAAATAACATTGAAGAAACGTACATAATACACACAGCTGATATACTAGAGTGAGAAATAGACATTTTCTCACACAGCGGATGTGAATTGCGAAAGTTAGTAGTCATACAGTGGCTGAGTCTTCTCGATTTGTTAACTTACGTTGCTTGCGATTAGTTGTCATATAAAATCTAGTTATTAAAGACGCAAATATCAAATAGAAGTGTGCCTGCTTGGCAGTGCGACATCAAACAGTCAAACGCTTGTCTATTCCATAACTCGTCATTGTCGTATTCATGATCATGGAAGTATTAGATCCAAGTGTCTCAAGAGACGATCAGCCATTGTGTATTAACGATTCATTACAAAAAAGCATTAGTAAGTACCCGACATTTACACTTATTCTCAGTTTGTATATTGCAGCTCTGATGTCACCCACCAAACAATGACGCACTTGACATACGAGATTGTCACTGCTTTGTATTATATATATTTATAAAATTTTATCGCTGTTAATTTCAATAGTTTAATATTAAAAATAATTTCTAGTTTGCCTATTTGTATATATTCTTAGAGAATATTAAACCAAATAGTTTATATATCCCAATTTGTACAAGTCAATATTTTCTATACGCATTAAAATATTAAATGGCATTAAATAGCAGTAAATTATATATATATATATATATATATATATATATATATATATATACCTGAATGCATGCATTAGGCTATTAAATATATCAAACAATACATCCGCCATCTATATAATGAATTAGTGCGAGCTTATGAAGTAAACAAGGCACGAAATAATGCATTAAGTCGTGTTGTACATTTTCGAAACCTTGTATATAAATGATTTATTAGTATGAACAATTTTTATGCCTATTTTATTGTCATCAGTTTTTAAAATGTTGTAAGGAATTACAAGTAATTGATTTATATAAAAACATTTCAGGTAATATAAGCATTTTAATACAACTGATTTAATTATCATATACTTTTTTATATCGCAAATAATATAAAAAAAAATTTGTAATTAATTAAACATACATATATAAAAATTCAATATTTAATAATAGATATTTTCATAAAAATATAAAATCATAAATAAGAAAGTAAACCGCTATATAATAAAAAATTTCCATTTTTAAATTTTCGCAGTATTTAAGATTAATATTTAGGGTCAGCTATGTAAATAATTTTATTAACTATTAGTTATTAAAATAAACATTTTAAAGATATTATTAATGTATTCAATGATATGTATAATGAATACACGATATAATTTATTTCTAAGATCTCTTATATGTTATTAAAAAATATAGCTTTTCAGTAATAATTTTTTGTTTATTATATATTTATTAATAATTTAACTTTCTAATGATACAATTATAAATCTAAAATAATAAGTTCTATAATTTATTACGATAATAAAGTATATGCAATAATATAAAATAATTTTAAGCAAGAAATATTTTAAGAAATAAAAATAAATAAAATTAATTGTACACACATTTAGTCCTAATGCATTATTAAAAATAAAAGAATTGAAATTTATATATAAATATATATATATATATATATATATATATATATATGTATGCATGTATGTATGCATGTATGAATGCATGTATGTATGCATGCATGTATGTATTTATGTATGCGTATGGGTATATAACTATAAATTTCTACTTTTTTACAGCTCAGTCACATCCAAGTGAAATATCTGATAGCCAATCATGTATAAAGTCAAGACAAATTTTTGGTTTCCTAGGATTTCTTGGATTTGCTTTAGTTTATGCAATGAGAGTAAATTTATCTGTGGCAATTGTATCTATGGTGAATCAATCAGCAATTCCTCATTCGGATAATGAAAGTGGTGTCGATGCATGCCCAAAAATAAATCCAGTGAATACAACATTTGTTCCAGTATGTTTAAATTATGATGTCACACATATAATATTTCTAATTAACTAAGCTAGATTAATAAAGTGATCTTTTATTTAATAGAATGACAGCATAATAAAATATATTTTATGAATTTACAAAAATATTACAGAAAATTATCATCCAAGCTATTTAATAAATATTCTTTTTTATTAACATAACTTTTATTAATTAAGTTGACGTTACTTAAAAGTAATGTATACAAATATTAGACGTTGAGATTAAGTTTTAACATTATTCACTTAATGATTTTAATAAAATTTTATTGATAAGTGTTGAAAATTTTAATTTACACGCTATTTTATTTCGCATATCGTTAATCCAATTTTTACCTATGTTTTAGAGTGCAGGTGAATTTGCTTGGGATGAAAAGACACAGGGTATTATACTTGGTGCATTTTTCTTAGGATATGTCATAACTAATGTACCAGGAGGTAGAGTAGCAGAAAAAATAGGTGGAAAATTAGTTTATGGATTAGGAGTATTTTTAACTTCTCTTCTCACTGTCATAAGCCCCTTTGCAGCTTATTGGGGTTTGTACCCATTTTTAGTTATTCGCGTTGCTGAAGGATTCACAGAGGTAAATAAAATATTTTGTTTCATTGAATAAATACTAAATAAAAGCAAAGTAAACGTATTAATAGATTGTTAAAATTTAACGAATAGTATTTAGAGAAAGTTACGATTTTTTATATTTAAACGTAATACGAATAATTTGTAATAGTTAAATCTTGCAAATTAATATATGTTATATAGAATAAAATAACATTTGCTTATTTTAATTAAACTATTTTATTCATACAAAAACTAATTTATTTTAATTTTTAGGGAGTTACTTTTCCAGCGATGCATAGTATGTTGGCACATTGGGTACCACCATTAGAAAGAAGTAAATTTGCTGCTTTAGTTTATGCAGGTAATATTAAAAAAAAAAACAATTTTAATTATTTTAAAATATATTTAATTGCAATTTTAATTATTTGCAGGATCAAATTTTGGTACTGTTATTTCTTTACCATTAAGTGGCTGGTTATGTTCTTTAGAGTTATGGGGTGGTTGGCCACTCTCATTTTATTTATTTGGTAGTCTTGGACTAGTATGGTATATATTTTGGTTAATATATGTGTTTGATACACCTGCAGAACATCCACGAATTGATCCTCAAGAAAAGCTATACATAGAATCATTAGTGGAAACAAAGAACGATGTGAGTATAATTTATTTTAATACACTGCTATGTTTTTTTACAATTAAAAATATCAATTTCTCTTATATTGGTATTATAGAAAATTAATTTTTTAACAATTGTTAATTTTATTTCTAAAAAATATTTATTAAATAAAAATATAAATCCTTATTAAATGTAGGATTACAATAATTCTGTGCCTTGGCTATCAATATTTAAATCTCTTCCAATGTGGGCAATAGCTATTACTCAATGTGGTCAGTCATGGGCTTTTTACACCCTTCTGACAGAATTGCCTACTTACATGGACAGAATTCTACACTTTGATGTACAACAAGATGCATTCCTATCAGCATTACCATATTTAACAGCCTGGGTAATCGGTTTGATAATATCAAGTTTTGCTGATGCTTTACTAGCTAGAAACATTATTACTCCACTAACTTCGTTTAAATTATGGAATACAATAGCTTCTCTAGGACCTAGTCTAAGTTTCTTAGGCGCTATTTGGGCTGGATGTGATCGACTTACTGTGATGCTAATGTTATCTGGTTTAAGTTCACTTTATGGTGCTGTGTATGCTGGTAATCAAATGAATCATATTGTTCTCGCACCACGATTTGCTGGAACTTTGTATGGAATAACAAATGCCGCTGCTAATACCTGTGGATTTTTAGCGCCTTATATTATTGGACAAATCGTTAATGGACATGTTAGTATGAATAAATGTATTTAAATTAGATGATACATAAATTGCTATTGAATATTTAAATATTTGAATGCATAGTACAACCATACAAGGTTACAAGATGTTTAAAAAAGTTTTTGTACAAAATTATTTGAACTTATAAAATTCTTTGTTTTTTTATTACTTTAAAATTGTTTATTTATATATATATATATATATATATATATATATAATTATTATAATTATTTTAATTCTAATATTTTATATTTCAATAGGAAACATTGGCACGTTGGCATGTGGTATTTTTGTTAGCAGCAGTTATCAATATGGGAGCAAATTGTTTTTATCTGCTATTTGCATCTGCTACTGAACAATCGTGGAGCAGAAACCATAGCTGATGATGAATATCATAAAAAAAGAATGAAACAATTAATGTGATGAGTGATATCTCATCGAATCGTCTTGCTATCAGCATTTCCAATCTACACGAAACGTCATTTGATAGTTTAATTTACTTCTAAACTATTGTTACATTAAATTTTATTGTACTATGATATAGATTCAAAAGTTATAAGTCTTTCGCTTTAGCGAAAAATGGGTGCAATCATACGTTTGTATGAAAAGTATTTTTTGTTTGATTGAATAATCAAATAGTGATGACTTAAACACGATATTTAGATTTAAGGGGAATTGACGCAAATCCTGACAATATCAGTATAATATATACACGCTGGGTTAGCTCTCTTTTTTGTATAAACCTTAATACCTATAATTGTACATTTATTATTTTCACTATACCATGAATGGCCTTTCTTCCTTATGATACTCGTAAATCTATTCATTAAATCAGTTATTATGTTTTGTTTCTTACTGAAAATACCTAATTAGTTATTAGTATAAAAAAATTGATGTATATTTAAAAAAAAAAAATTGAATTCTTTTGAAGTATATAAAAATATGTATAATTTATTTAAACTTTTTTATACTTTTTGTTAAATTATGTATGAAATTTTGATATACTAATACATACTATTTATATCATATGTATGTAATTTTTACATTATTTTTCCAATCGTTTAATTATGAAATAAAAAATGTATGTAAATTGTGTAATTAGATTAATGACAGATAAGGTTTAATATATTTGTAAATCACTAGTGATTTAGAAAAATTAATTTATTTATTAAATTATTCAATAATTTTTTAAGTAAATTTTATAAATGAAATATTGAAAGCTATCATTATAAACAATTCATGCTCTTAATAAGTTTAAGTGCGTGTTAGAAAAACTCAGTATTCGATACATCAAATTTATGATAAAAAATGTAAAATAATATGCAATCTTGCCAGAACAAGATTTACTGAATGTTTGTATTCAATTATTTTATTAAATTATTATTTGTAACTCGCAATTGCAATATTTACATAATAAATGTTGATATTCTTTTATAAAATTAGTATTTTTAAAATATAAATATGTATTATGATTTAAGTTTTATATTGTTTTATATACATTAATATTTTTACAATATATAGCAGCTTAAAAAATATTAGAATAATATTAACCAAAATCTTTAAAACATTTACTTATTTTGTATAAAATATTCAAATTTTTTAAAGTCTAAAAAATGAAGTTTTAAAAACTTCTAAAATATTTTCCATGTTCAATTATGACTCCTTTATTTTGTAAAAATATATAAATTTAAAATTCTATATATAAATAGGTTAAAAATAAATGAACGATTTTAATAAATAAGTATGGGTGTCGACAGAATTATAAAACAAATATATTTACATATTTTCATATTTTATAAATTATATTTTTTCAGATTCAGGTAAATAAAAGTTCAATATAAGGTACATTAAACGTCATTGTAATTCGCATATTAAAGATCATCTCTTTTTTTTGCCGTCAACTCAAAGATCATATCTCGCATTCTGCTTAAATTATGCAATTCGTTTGATAATTTTTGTACAATTTCTTCTTTTTTAGCAATAGTCATTTCGTAACTATGGCATTGTTGAGCTTGTTGCTTAATTTCTTGGTTTAAAGCAGCCATATCTTTATCATTCGCAGCGATTTCTCTATTTTTTTCTTCAATAATCTGAAGTAATATAAACGATAAGAAACTAAAAGAATAATGTATGCTGCGATAATAAGAAATCATATTGATTTTTACCTGTTCTTTTCTACTTATATTCTCTTGCATATTTTGAAGTAATTTGCTCATCTCTTGATTTTTATTTAAGGTTTCTATTAATTTACTATTTAACAAATCTATGTTATCTTCCAAATCTTTAGTTTTATTTATCAATATCGGAATTTTGTCATTTTGATTTTCTAAATCTTTTATTCTAGTACTATATATATTTATTTGATTATTCTTTTCAAATACAATATTTTTTAATCCGGCAATTTCCTTTTAAAAATAGAAATATTTGTATTAAGAATCTGGTATTAATATTAATAGTACAATTTCATAATCGGAATAAATAATTTATATTATTAGCTTACTTGTACTTGAACAGAATGAGTAGTTTTGGTTTTCTCTTCTGTTTCTTTAAGCTTATTCATTAATGAATGTTTTTCAATCTGTGTCCCTTCTAAACATTGTTGAGTATTAAATAAAACTTGATGCAATTGACTCGACTGTGTAATAAGCTGTGCTAATCTATGTTGAAGACTTGTAGCATTATTACTGGCTGCTTCTAAACTGGCTTGCATAGTTCTTTCAGCATGTTTCATTGTTGCCATCTTTTAAATAGATAAAAATATATATTTTTTATATTAGTTTATAATTTTACAAAATATAAATATATTTATTAAAAATTTACTAAAAATAAAATTCAATATTAATATAAAAATTATACCTTATACTCATAAAGTTCCATAATTGCTGATGTAGTTATATTCGATAAATTATTTTTTTCGAATGCATTTTCAAGTTTTGAAATAAGTGTGTCAAGTCTATTTTCTTGAGCCATTGAAAACAATGGTAACGAATCGTATAGATGAATATTAATTAAATTTTCAGAATCTTTTGAAATATTTATTTTTTCTTGTATCACCACCAGAGGCTGTAACTCCGCCATACATTTAGCAACTGCAGAAATACTTCAAGGAATATCATTTTTTTTTTTATTATTAAACAACTAGATATGTAATATTAATTAATTTACGTTTACTGCAATTATATACTGTAATTTACCATTCCTGTGGAAATCCGACTGTAGAAGTTAACTGCAGGACTTTTTGCTTAACATCACTGTCACCAGTAAATAAAGCTATAGCCATTATTATTTGCATCTGTTTCCTTTGTAATAGTTCTGTATACAGTGTTAACCAAAGTGTGTTATTAGTTGCTAAATCTGCTATAAGAGCTAATGCATGAATATAAAAATCTGTTGATGAATCCTGTAAAAATGTTATTACACAATTACAAATATTTCAATGGTACATACATTATATATTAATATGCAGTATATCTACATGAAAAAGATTTCGTGGTTTATCTTGTTCATTATTATCTGTGAGTATAGATCTCATTAAAAAACGCATTTTTAAAACTGAAAATATTTCTAGGACTTTTGTTCTAGCAGGTGTTTTAATCAATTCTTGAAAAAGTTGCATTAATTCTGATAAATTATTCTTTATAACTATAGTGCTTTTTTCACAACTTTCATCATCATCTTTAATCAAATGCGTTAATACCGAAAGATCTAATTTTTCTATTACTTTTGTATTATTTCTTATTCTGCGAGAATCAATTACAATATATTTAATCAAAGATAATGCTTTTGAACCAACCTATATAACAAATAATGCTATTCTTTAATTATTTCATATATATTAAAAAATATAAAATAAAAATTATTACGTATTCAATAGAAATCCATGTGACAGCAGTATTAACTATTAATGAATATAGATGCACCAAATCTGGAACTTTTAATTTTAGTAACGAAAGTAAAAATTCCATAATAAGACTTGCACATTCTTGATTGGAAATATCTTTGAAAGTTTCCAAAATATTTGTCACATCTTTGAAATAGCTGAATATAAAGAATTTACACAATAATATATAATAATATGTTTTATTTTATTAAATAAGTATTTTATTAAATTTAATAAGTATTTAGTTTTGTATATAAATTAAAAATTTTATAATATATCTAGTATCCATTTGGGTAAATGTATATTATAAAAACAATATTGATGTTTTTATTAAAGTATTCAATTAAAGAATTAACTTTAAAAAATTAAAAAATAAGAAATTTACTTGGGATATGTCAGAAGAACTGTTCTAAAACGATCGTTTTGTCTAATATCATCAAAGAAATCAACAATATGTCGTAATAAAAGAACATCTTCGTCTACTAATGTTGGAATGATATTGATAAAAGTAAAAGCAGCAACATCTAAAATATATGAATCCAAGATATCACTATTCGAATGCTCTAATATTAATAACAGTTTACAACACGGCACTCTTATATTAACATTCTGTCCTCTTGTTTTTATAACACATTGTAGAAATGTTTTAGTATTGACAGTACGCATTAACACATATACAGCGGGCAAATTTTTATAACACAAATTTACCAGTACACCCAAAGAAAGTGTAATGACTTCTTCTTCGCTAGACTGAATTACCCATTGAGATAATTTTGTTATTAAATATGGCAAATGAGCTTCTTGCCACGACATTTTAATTCCATATGTTAATTCTTGCAAAAGCTTTAGAGCTCTTATTCGTTTTTCAGATGTTAAATTTGCCTGCATTAAACAAATGTAAAAAATTGATTAAATAAACAGTCAAACTATGAGTAAATATCGTTCAAAGATACTAAATTTTTTTATAATTCTAAAGCAATGAAAAATTAGTTATGACTTATAAAGAAGATTAAGAAATAATTTTTAATTATTTTAAAGTAGTAATCAAACATTAATTTAGTAAATTGTATATTAAGTATGATATTTTACTTAATACATATAAATTAACTAAATGAATTAAGTAAAATATTGAATAATTATAAAAAAAAAAAACAAGAAATAATAAGTAATAATGTATTAAGAATAACATCTAGATATATTTCTGTATATTTCAAATACTTATAAAGATAAAAATTATAATATTCAAAAAATGAATTTGCAATTTTTAAAATGAGTTAAAATATTTTATTCTATTGTAATATTAATTTTTAATATTAATATTAAAACATATTTTATAAATTTTATTTCCTAAATATAAATTTATAATCAAACATCACAGGTATGTAGAACAAATTATTGATGTACAAAATGAAATATATTATTCAAATTAAAGAAAGTAAAATTATAAATAATATTTAGATTATTAAATTATAGAAATATACTTAATTTCTTTATCGAAAATTGGTATTATATTAGAAAAATATATTTCTTTTAAATATAATACTATTATCAGTATTGAAATGTTTCATTACCTCCAAAAGTTTTGTTAAAATTGGTGCAAATTTATATGTATGTATAAGTGCATATCGAGCAGCTCTATTTTTACATGTAGTTTGTAGAACATCTACAGCAGTCCAAATTAAACTTGAGCCAGAATCTAGTGAATTTATTATTTCATGTAAACTCACATAAAACATTGTTAATACACTAGAACAAGGATCGAACAAATTGGGATCTGTAGAATTACTTATTGCCTGTAACAAGTTAATTTATTTATGATTCAACTTATGATTTATAATATAAAACTATGTTAAACTATTAATAATATTGTATTATACATAAATATTAAATTAATTAAATTTAAAACTGTACCCCAAGATTTCTTTGTACAACAGAAGCTGTTGTTTCACTTGGATGCTTTAAATACTCTGAAGCAGCAGAAATAAATGCTCGTATATTATGAAATTGATCCATATTTAATCATATAATTCCTCAATCAATAATTCGACGAAATTAGAACATCACTTACAAATTACTACCAATATATAAAATAAACAGTTGCATCAGCAACAAAACAAATTATTTACATGCAATATGAACAAAAATAAAGCATAACCAAAAATGTACTTATTCACGAAGAGTACTTTTTAATCAACATTAATTTAATAAAATAATTACTACATAAAACTAAGTATTATAAGGTAAAAAAAAGAATAATAACATAAATTTACAAAATGTAATTTCACAAAATACAAAACATTCATTTATTGAATTGCCAAATGCAACTGTCTGTTATTAAGTTAGCATTTAGCGTTCATTTTTAAATGCCCTCTTATATTTAAATCAACCAATGGTGATTCTCTTTTCCTAGATAAATTGACCAATGAATCATCAACACATCTTAAAGCACATGAATAATTTTAGGACTTTCGAAATAATCATTATAATTGTTATTGATTTATATACCGATAATAATAATAATGATAATAATAATAATAATAATAATAATAATAATAATAATAATAATAATAATAATAATAATAATAGGAAATATTTTGTCATGAAGAGTATTTTTTTTAAATACATTTTTAAAATTACTTTACATTTTCATGATTCTTCTAAGTGTTTTCAAAAAATAATTTAAAAAATCAGTAACACTGTAAAGAACATAAATAAACCAATATAATAAATTAATAATCGCTTATAATTATTGTAAATAATGATAAAAATTATAAATAAAATTTTAAATATCTAAAAAATAAAAACAGACGGTAAAACTGAAAATTTCAAATTTGTTGACTCTGTATTAGAAAAATTAAAAAAAAAACAAAAGATTAATAAGAAATTAATTAATTAATATATAATTAATAAAAATTAATATGAAAGTAAAAGATGTCTTGATTATATACAAAATAGTATAAAAAAAAAAAAGAAAAGGAAATAATCTAAATGAAATCGAAACATTTTTTTTTATTTAATTTAAGTATAATGTCATTATTTTAAATTTGAAATTATGGTATATAGCTAATAATGTCAAATAAATGTTGAATTTAAAGTATTGTTCATTCGCATATATTTATACAAGTAAATTATAGTATACAATTTATTAGTTTTTCTAATTGATTCATTATTTATAAATTATATTTTTCCGAAAAACAATAAACATTGATACATTTTTATAATTTGGAAATACTTTTGCATAAATCAAATAAAATTAGAATGTGTATTAAAGTTTTTCTTCTTTAAAAGAAATTCTATTCCCACAGTAAGTCGTATTCCAATACAAATAACAATATTTTAAGATATTGTAAAAATCGAATATTCTAAATAATCTGTATATAGAAATTCTTAGAGATTTGTTTATTAGCAACTTTTTTCAATACCTTAGTAAAAATTCATCCCAAAATACGTAAATCCTTAAGATATTATCTTCATAGTAAACCCAACTAAAACATCTTATTTATTTGGCAATATGTTTAATATCATTTATTAATGAAAACAGTACGTACAATTACTATAAATGTTAAAATTATGATTATGTTACGAAATACTCACTATTTTCCTCTTAATATATCAAAGGTGAAATAGTGTATGTAGAAACACATTTAGAATACTGTAAATTACGTGTCATCCGATTTATTAACGTTGGCATATTGTAATATTAGGAAATACCGATCTATATAACTATGTGTTATGATCAGCTCCGAAAGGTATTTCTGACACGAATTTAATACACGTCTTAAATTTAATTTCCCGTCCAACATATTACACATGTTTTCTTACACCCTATATAACTATATATATATATATATATATATATATAAATCAAGATACAACATACGAGGCAAAGTGTTGCAGCAGTGCAGTGTACAGTATGGGATGCGAACGTAAACATTACGTTACAATTGAATCGCGAACTGAAAAATCGTATTAAGTTATTTATCCCGTTCATGTTGAAATAAATAAAAATGTTTTCATAGTGTTTTACTTTAGTGAGAATTTGTGTAGTGATAAAGGATTAAAAGATGCTGTGATAAAGGATTAAAACATCTGTGTCATAATGTATCATAATATAGACATCTTCTTATTTTTTTTTAAAATTTTTTTTATTGTTTTAGAATGACCTAACCTTCCTATAAAGCACATTTTTGATAATATACTTTTCTTTCATTGATAATATAAGATTGAAACAATTCGTACAACATTTATAAAAATAATGTTGATTTACATAAATTAATTTGAACTGAGCGTATTTTTATAATATGTATTATATTGAATTCAGTTGATTTCATAGACTTAAAATAGTATAATCGAATATTACAACTATTTTAACTTGTTATTGTGATACTATAATTATGTTAGTTGCTTTTTTATTTTATCTTAAACAAAAATTAATGGTCATTGAAGTATCTAATAACAAATAGAATTTATACTTGTAGAATCCATTTAATAGGAAATTAATAGAAAAAATTAATTATAAAAAGAATTCAAACTTATTATATGAAGTTGGTTGTTCTATAACCTTAATTTTCTTTGATAATTAGATCAAGTACTTGAGCTTCTAATATTGTGCACATAATAAACATCATAATCCATTTTAAATTAATATATTCAGATAATATAAAAATTCATAATTATATGAAATTATGTGAAATTATTCAGAATTATGTGCATTATAATTTAAAATAGGAAATAACACAAAAATTAGTGATTGTTCTTTCGAGCATAGTTAATAACGAGTGAATAATATACTGATTAAAAATGTCTGAAATCAAGCCATCAGGAATAAGACCACCTTCAAAAATTGATCGACCTACATGTTCAGTAACGCCAAAACCATCATTACCACCTAGATCCATAAGTATGTATTCAAATAATTAATAATTTGTATAAAATTTATACAATAATGTTTGAAAAAGCATGCTCTATTACATTTGTATTAACAAACTATGTCTGATAATGTAGTATAGATAAAAATATTTGAATTATTTTAATCATTTTTAAGTTAAATCCATAAGTATTTGTTTATATCCTATGATTTAGTTAGATTGATTTTATAATTAATTATATTGAATTCTAATTTTTATATAATCGATTTATATAGATTTTTTAATGATATAAAATTAAATATTTTTCTATATTTATGGTAAATTTATAATTATTTTCTAAAAATATTGAAGTATAATCTGTATTATATATCTACATATTAAAATAATATATATTTTAAGTTATATTAAAGTATTTTTATTGGTTTATTTTTTTTATATATGACATGTGAAATTATATTAACTAAAACAAATAAGTAATTGTTTATGTATACTATGTTATATAATAATTTAAAATTTTTAATAAATATACATTTTAATTGGATATTTTTTTGTTTTCAAACATGAAAATATAAGCATGTGTATGGACTACGTGTTTATATATATTTATTTATTTTAATTAATTTTCTCAACGCGACAAACTTATGCATACAATATTTAAGTATTTATACTAAATTGATTTATATAATTTATATATATATATATAAATTATATAAATCAATATTATTGATGAAAATGATTAATATTATATATATATATATATATATATATATATATATATATATATATATATAATATAAAAGAAAATAATTCATTATATGGTTTAAAAATATTATTTAATGAAACTATTTACTTGTTAAGGTAATGTCTTGAACGCTTCTACTATATTAAAGATTTGTTTACATACTGAAATATTATAATATATCTTAAAATAAACAAGCGTTAATAAGTAATTACATATATTTCTTATACTCCAGATTTATTTCACATAAATGTATTTAATTATTTTTATATTTTAATTCCAATATATTATTTACCTAAAACATAAATAATAAATTTATATATTAATAAAACTAATTAGATGTAGATTTTTATAAAGTAATGTTAAGTTTTTTCTTTATAATGAAAATGAATTTAATACAAAATATATATCTCTTTGATTTTTAGTTTGTATATTATTATTTTTAATAAGAATTAAATTTTTAAAGGAAATGATCGTATATGTAAAAATAGTCGCTTTCTAGATTTCCTTGTACTAAAAATAAAGTGGAATTTCTACATTATAAACCTGGTCCATAAAATAAATATTTTATATATTTGCTAACAAAAGCAAAATAAAATTATTTTAAGAACTTTCTGATAAAATATATTAATTTCCGAAAAATAAAACATAGAAGTCAAATATTATAAAATAAAAACTTTTAATACCCAAAATTTCTATGTAATATGAATTCGGATACATAAGTTATATAAAATATTAATATAAATAATAAATTTACTGTAAAAATCTTATTTGTCAAATGATTTGTAAAATTAAACAAGTGAACATTGTAATCATTCATTGATTGAATTCGAAATAAACATATATTTGATATATAAAAATTTATGATCACATATTTTAAGAATATATTTAAATGCGGTTATCCAAATATTATTTTATTTTTATGACTATGTAAAATGAATATTTAAAAATGTAACTAATGACTGGAATGAATGAAATGAATAGATATGAAAATGGCAAATATCAGGTCAATTGAAATTAAGAAAGATTAAAAAGCATTTGATCTCTGGAAATAATGCTCATTATGTTAACGATGTAATTAATATACGTGTAAGTATGTACAAATATATTTTATGAAATATCCTTATCAATTATTAAAAATATATAAATTGCATAAATTGTAAAAAATATAAATGAGTATAGAAAAATATTTAAAATTTTATGGACAATATTCAAAATAATAATAATTTTTTCCCTTCCAAGTACGTCGAAAGAAATAAATAATTTAAAATATTTAATAACCCATCGTATTTATAGAACTAAGTATGCATATTATATTACATATATGTCAAGTTTTATATAAGATATAAGATTTTTACATTAATTCCGTATTTTAATGATATTTATTGTTTAATACAAGAAATTTCTAAAAATGTATAGAATAATAAAATAATTATATGTAAAATTTTGCTTTATTTCATATATTACTTTAATCATACACTTATTTTTCGAATCTAATTTGTTTTTACTTTAATTTTTGCACATTATTTTCATTTAGTACGTGAATACTTATTATTATAAATTCAAAATACAAATTGAATAAAAATAAATTTTTTAAATACAGAATATCAGTATACATATCATCTTTTACAAACCTATACTGAAAATGAAATCGACAATTAAAAGATATAATGCATCAGATAATATTCAAATTTTATAAACAAATGATAACTTTAATTTTTTTTCCAAAATATTTTTGACTTTCTTTATTTTTTCTTTATTTTTGATAATTATTAGTTTATCGCATTTTCTTAATTGTCTTATTCGCTACATTCGTCCATTAAAATATATAAAAAATTGTATTCTGGAATACGTTAATTTCTTGAACAGAAAATATCTTTTTAAATTACTCATATTTAATAATAATAATAGATAACTTTATTTACATCTTCAAATTTTATTTGAAATTTTATTTCCACCATTCATATTATTTATTTGTAAGAAAGGCATCTGAAAAAAATGGATCATTTACATATGTAATAAATTATTAAAAAATCATTAGTGCATATTATATATATAAGTATTTGAATTAAATAATGTTTATTTGATAAAATCAAGGTACAATTATATAAACTTATTCATAAAATTTAATAAATTTATTAAACACATAAAATATATTTTTATTATAATTTATTTATGTAAATTTAATTTTACGTACGTACTTATAAAATAATCATGAGTTATTACTAAAAAATCTTTTGCTATCAAAATTAATTTTGTTTTTCAAATATCATTAACTTGCATTGAATTACTTATACGTGAATATAAAAAAGAAAATATATTGCATGTAGTAATTGTTCAGAATAACAAATTAGGTAAGATTAGATAAAAAATTAAAATATAAAATATGATAAGATAATCAAGTATAAAATGTTATACTAAATATTTTTATGCTATGACAAAATATCCACTAATTAAAAAAGAAAAACATATAGCCTTTATTTTATTGATTGATTGACACTTATACATCTATCTTTATTTCAATATTTATTTTTCAATGTTAAAAAAATGCAAATTATTTTCATATAAATATTTTCATTATAATTTTCAATAATTTGATACTAACAACTTATATATTCAGTAAGTAAATTAATTACTATATACAAACATGCGATTCAATTATGAATATATTTTATTAAAAAAATTAATTATTTAAATAATATTAGAGCAATAAAAAAATTTTGCGACTGCGTATAAATAAATTCATAAGCTAAAATTACAAATGATAAACTATATATTGACCATATTTGAAAGTAAAAAATATCAGCATTTCGAACATTAATCTTCCTTATAGATAAATAAATCGTCTTAATTGAAATATTAACATTAATGAAATAAATAAAGTAAATCGCGCAATTTTGATTATTCAAAGCGCAAAACTACAAAAATGCAAATTTCAATCCTAATATATGGTCATTATTGTTACATTAGTCGTCATACCATTAATTGTTTAAATCAATTAAAGACATACATTTGTTATAGTAAATTCATTGCTCTTTGAAATTATATATTAAACCTAAGAATATATAATGTACATATACAACGTTAAAGCGTCAACCAGTACCAAATGCTAAGGACAGTGCCCTTCACAAATCTCTCTCTCTCTCTCTCTCTCTCTCTCTCTCTATCTATCTATCTATCTATCTATCTATCTATCTATCTATCTATCTATTTATCTATCTATCTATCTATCTATCTATCTATCTAAATCTCTCCCATGCACATATGCATAGGTGCTACATGCGTACGCGCGTTCTCCTCTCAAAGAGTTGCGAAAGTCATTCAGCATTAGTTTCTTAGCCGCGGCATTTGTGCTTGCCTTAACACTCGGTCGCGACGTCGAACGGATCGACTCAAACGCCCACCACAAGCCTGGATATTGAGGAGTGCGTTAACGAGGCCTCCGAGGAAGTGTGCGCAAATCTCGATCGCACCTCGTTACGAGACGTATCTCGCACAAGATCGCTCTCGCATCTCAGATCCAACGGAGTGGCACTCGATTGTCCGATTCAAAGATGTAAGATATTTGATCATTGCGCCTCTTTCTCGCTTTTCACCCAATATTTAATGGACCGACAAGCTTTCTTAACGCTTCGTTGAAAAAATATCGGTTGCATCGGCTTTTCATTCCTTTTATTATTGCTCCATTTAATTAATAATTTTGCTCCGACATATTCTAACAGACTAATCACAACTCGAACCCTCTATTGTAGTCAACACTTTGTTGATTTTTAGAAGGTATCATTAGAAGATAATTGTAACGGGAAAATTCGAACTAATGCTAATTAAAAAAAAGGTTTATTAAAATTATCGTTTCAATATTGCATTTAATTTTGAATGCTTTCGTCAAATATTCATTTTATCCAAATATTATATAATTATTAAATAACTGCTTGAAAATTAAAATAAACTTTGAAGATTTCAATCTCTTTAATTTTATTATATGCGTCAATAATATTATACTATATAAAAACAATCTTTAGCATTTTATTCAGGAAAAAAGTAGTGTAAGCGCGAGTGTACACTTATTTATTCGTTTGTTTACTTGTTTCTATTTATATATATATATATATATATATATATATATATGCAAACTCTATGATAAATGTCCATAAATTTTAGAGTATTAACTATTTTTCAAAAAAAATCCAATTAATCGTAAGCAATAATCAAATAAAATTAAAATTTTTTTTTTTTATTAAACGAATTAGTAAAAACAGCGTTAACATAATATAAATATATTATTAATTGCCTATATGTAGAAAGCATTGCCAAATTCTTACTCCATCTAAATGTTTTTGCCTATACATTTGAAAAAAATTATAATCACCACTTACTTATAACGTAAGCGCGTGCGATGGAACTGATGTGGCTTAATTCAATTTTGCTATTAGCAGTACCCAGAAAGAATAGTTTGTGCAAAAAATAATGCTATGTTTATATTAAAAGCCTGGCCAATTACTCGAGAATATACTTAGTTTTCTCCAATTTATTACTCTACCTATCTGTATAGATTTATTATATTCAATTTGTCTATATTTAAAGAAAATTTTGTACTTTACTAATGTCACTAGATTAATAACATTTTGAGAAAAACAAATATAAAATACTCTGCCTGCTAAATATTTGTTATATTTATTATTGTTCTTGTGTTATTGTTTTTGTTGTTTTGTTGTTGTTGTTGTTGTTGTTGCGTTGTTAATAATATATAATTAGAATAATATTTTTATTTTTAATACTGAAAATCGCAAGACAACGTTAAACTTTGTATGATATAAATGTAGAACGTTAATCTTTTAATTAAATACAACATATACGTAACTGCCTTTTACTCTATTTTAATTCTATCAAATGCCTCAGTAAAATTTCTATTAACCGAAATTCATATACTAAACTTATATGGGACACTTTATATTACACTAATAAATAATAATGTAATAATATTTGATATTCAGTTGGGCCTACTAAGCAAACACACTCATGCAAGTATTCTTGAAACTTCCTGTTTCAAAGCCATTGTCTGCTGATATTAATAAGCTTCATTCAGCAATATTTTATTTTTAAAGAATGCCAATTTTTCGTCAATTTGCGAATTGTGCATATGACAACAACATCGATGGGCACACTTGTCGTCACCACATAAGTACACTCGTAATCGGGAGCACGTATCTCACCTTATTGGTACATCGAGCCGTTGCTACTGCAGCACATTCTGCATGGACTCGAGACCCATATTATACGATTCTCTCCTCCTCTCCCTCTTTCTCTTTCTGTTCAGTAGTCGCACATGGCCGGTAATGACGTATTTGAGTATTATACAACGCATTCTTTATATTGTTTAACGGCGCACATATGTCATGGTCGATTTTGCAATTTGTGGCGCCTAAAACTTTTCCCTCGCCTTCGACAATTACGGAGAAAGGCAGTTAATTGTTTTGGCTTTAATAATTGCCAGCGGTTACTTACGAAACTATCGACTTTCTTTACCCCCTGAATTGAACAATTTTAACGTCTCGTTCGTCTTTTTTCGAGGCAAAAATTTTACTTTTTCTTACCAAAATTTATTTTTAAGAATATATAAATACATAATATTTAAACTATTATCTAATCTTCATTGCTAAATTTGCACAATTTTGAGAACAATATATTAATAATAAAATATACAAATATTAATATTAAAATATAGTTTAAGATAATTGTATAATTTATTTATATAATTTCAATATTAATTCGTATGAATACATATAGTAAGCTTTCATTCTCATGTAGTCTAATTTTTGTATTTAAGACACAAAGAAACAAAGAAGTATTTTAGATGAAAATTATTTGTTTTAAATAAGACAAAAATCGTAATTTTAAAATCGTTTAAAATCGTATTTCTTCTAATGATCAAATACATTTTTTGTTAATTTAAGATCTGCTCTATAATTAAATTATTAGTAAATTTGTTTTTAAAAAATTTAGAAAATATTCCTAATTCATAAATCATAAGATAATCAGAAATTTAATTTTAGTATTTCTAATTATTAGTGTATTTAATTGTACCTCTTCGACAATACAAAGTATTTTATTTATAATAAGCAAAGATGATTAATTTATATGCTATAAATATACGATAATTAATATTTAATATTTTAATAATAATAATTACTGCAACGAATTTGTAATTAAAGTTACTTGGAAAAATCAACAGCCTGATAAAATAAATTGTTAAATAGAAATTATTCTGCAAAAAAAAAACTATAGCACTGTTTTAATAATCAATCTTTGTCTGCTGTCATTACTTTTCCATACAATCCATCCATCTTTGTTGCATTTCTAGCAAATATTTTGATTTCAAGAATGACGTGTTTCATAACATCATCGCCTACACCAATATGGCTGTAGTAGCTTGTCTTTTTTTCGTTCTCTAACGAGACAAACTCAACGACTACAACTTGAACGTTCATTCAGTTATTTCGGCAATTGTTAGTAAGCATGTGTGCGTGAAGAGTCCGCAATCTCACGAAGGCTTTTTCTAAGACCGGTTTTCACCAATACTTTATCATTTATCGTTTAAAATCTTTTCATTTAGAATTATTTCATAAATCGCTACTGTACGCAAATTCAATTAATGTAGCCTTGGTTGGTTGCACAAAAACAACATGTGAAAATCGTTTCTTCATATAATAGATTAACATTGTGACATTATAAGTTCAACGATTTTGTTATCCATTGAAAATGAGCATCACGGAAATAAATAAAATGTAATAACATATTGTAATCTCTATAATTTTTATTTTCTTGTCTGTGAATTAATTATAGAGCATAGAATAAGATTAGTCATCGGTAAAAAGACAAATATGAAATAACCTTTTTGATTCTATAATTTATTTTTAGACGTATGAAACAATGATATTATTTTTCTTGTATATTAGTAAATAATAAATTAAATTGTAAACGAAATTTTAAACAAAATTATGTTAATAGTTACAAAAATTACAAACTAGCAGATATATATATATATACATACGATGAAGTAAATATAAAAGAATTACATTGATTTAATAATTCTACATTTCAAGATAATATATTAAATATTTATCCAGAGTTTTTCTAAAATATTATCATTAGGAAAATAATAATTTAAAATTACTTTTCATACTGAATATATAACTTAATTAAATCGTATTAATATAATAACGAACGATATAATGAACATTTTCAGTTTTTAATAAGTTTATAAAAATATTGGAAAAAAGTATGATTTTATAAATTTTTAATACGGTTTATAAAATTCTATTATAATTTTAAAATGTTATTAATTTCAATTTTTAATAGTAATGAAATTATGAATTATAGAATTGTAATACTGTTTTATTTATTTATTCTTGTAAGTAAAGATTTTAAAATGAAATAATTAATGTTGATAGATATTTATTATTTCTTTTAAAAATATTATAACTAGCATTCTTAATATATTATAGATACTCTCAAAGAAGCGAAAATTTAAATGAACAAAAAAAAACAATTAAATAAAGATAAAAAGATATTTATTACTCTTATGTCAGTAAAATTCATTCAAATTTTTAGTTTCCTGATTTTTAGAATCGCATTGCCTTAATCTCGGCCTCCTACATTTATTTGATTGAACAATATAATCTTATTATTCGTCGTAGGATTAACAATTCACAGAGACAAAAAAGAAAGAATTACAATTATTATGAGATATAATGTAATATTAAGATCTGCCGCGGTATCTGGTCGTATCGCCAACTCATCGTACGTTCAAACATACATACGCACTTAAACATTCAAATATGAAACGTGTAGCTTTATCGCCCACGCAAACGACCTATTACTATCTCACACCTACGTCCTTCATAAATAGTTAATTGCAGCATGGATGACGATACACCCGGATGTATCTTACCGGCTTTCGAGACGCTCATCAGGCCTTTTTTTTATTATTTAAGTCTTCCTTAGGCTGAAGGTTCCCACGCACTTGTTGTGTTTCACCTTCGCCAAAACACGACAATAATCAGTATGACAAATATGTGAAACGCGAGCATATGACATATAATGCGTTACCAAATAGTAGACTTCCTGATTACAACATTTTTCGACGATAAGAAATAATGTGGAGTCAGTGTTATCTTTACGGAGTAAATTACTTACGTAAGTCACATACGTTGAAGTTTTTATTTTTACCATTGATGCAGGTGAAAATGATTGTAATCTTGTCATGTCGTAGTTTTAACTTTGTCAATTGGTAAGATTTTATACAACATGATTTTATAATATATTAGGGTAATTATTACTTTTGCTTAATACGCACAGAGCCAAATAATCCAATAGTTCGATTATTTAATTCATGGGTAAAGTAATTTTGAACTTAAATTAATAAGTAAAACTTGAGTTCAATGAGTTCTATTTTTTTTATTCCTGCATACTTACGTTTAAACAACATTAAGCAATAAACAATATTAAGCTTTAAACGTAAATTGTTACGCAATTTTTATATTATAAAAATAAAATTATATATATATATATATATATATATATATATATATGTATGTATGTATATAAAGATATGGATATTTCATAAAAAATATTTTATAAAATTTATAATAATACTTTTCAATCACTTAATATTTATCGATTGTTATAATATGTCAAAATAGTTATTGTAAAATTAAATAATGGATTTTATAGTATGTACTTCGCCAATATAAATGGTGATTAATCTATGGACTCTCATGAAATAAAGTTTATAATAATTGAAATACTTTCATTAAATTATAAAATAATATGCAAGTACGAAATCATAAATTAAACCGAACAAGTGAAATGTACATTCCGAAATACTTATGAGAATAATTTAATTGCGTTATGTTATTGGCTCGCTACTGTTAATGTATATTGCTTGTTGTTATGTGGCTTATAGTACGAATTTCGTTGTTGTGTTGCATGATTCGTCAGATCCAATGGAGCCACTGTGGGAGACGCATGGCCGCCGATTAAGTGAGGCTGGAGTGCGCAGGGGATCAGGTAGGTTACTTTGTCCCTGTTTAGGAACCCTGTCACTATTGTCAATGATAACAGTTTTGAAACGAAACACATCCTTGAAACACTTTGGAAACAAATTAGCCAATTACGAACTCCATTTTTATATGAATTGAGAATCGGTACTCGTCTAATCAGTAATTTATAGGTAGACGCTATTTACATTTAATTAAAGCATTTTAATTAAATTTAAATTTAATTAATATTTAAACTTACATTTAATTACAATTACATACAATTACATTTAAACATTATTAGAAAGAAATACATACAATTACATTTAAACATTATTAGAAAGTACAATAAATAAAAAATTTCGTTAAGCTAATGGACTTGATGACTTACGTACGAGAATTACTTGTTATAATGAAAGCATATAATTTGTCATTATTTTATTCAACGTTTATAAATATTTTTTTAATGTTTAAATATTACCTTTCAACGTAAGGGTTAATAAAAATGAATATTATGTATTTTTCACTTTATTATAATAATTATAGATGTTTTAAAAGCATAACATGGTAAATGAATATTTATAATTTAATTTATTCACATTTGTCCGAGTGTTGGGTCATATGGAAATATGCGTTGGAAACACTTTTTCAAGATTGAATTTTATAATTAGGATCTACAGGTACCCGTGTGTATTGAGTTTTTAACTTTAATAATAAAATATTAGTAAATTAATCAATTTTTTCATGATTCATTTATTTATAATATAATGTATTGATCGTTGAAAATTAATTTTGCAAAAATAACTTCATGAAAAATAACAATCATGATTATTTAGTTTAAAACTAAATTTAAATTATTAAAGGCTATTAAGTTGTTTAAGTACATTAAACCTCGACAAATTATATTACTTAGTTCTTGATTCTACCATTTTACGGTATGTATTGATATACAATGTAGCTTGCTAATCTTGAATTTTCATTTCTATATTGCTTGTTAGTTATATCCTATTGTTATATGCATGTTGTCATACCACAGCTATCTAGTTGCTTTATAATGATTATTTAATATTAAAAATAAGTTTATATGGTAATTATATATGTGTAAATGAAACGATTAAGTCATAGAAAGTATTATTTAAAAAATGTATATATTTATTTCAAGCAAAATTAGGAATCATGGTCAAAATTTCTTACAGCCATTTACAAGGAGCAATTTAAGAAAATTTCAATTATTAATTATCAAATATTAAATTAAAATTATTAAAATTATTATTTATTAAAATATCCATTAAAAAAAAAAATAATATATAATTTGAATAAATTTTAATTTGTTAAGAAAGCATTTTTTTTAAGTTAATATAGTAAATCCTAAACTTACAATAATCTTCCATTTTATATATTACACCTTTTTTATTTTAAAATCAATTAGTCTTGTATCGTAATATTAAGTATTATTATAGTATATACTTTAGAATTTAAATAAATTTTTATTTTATCGCTAATAATTATAAATCAAACTGTAAACAATTAATTATTACTACAGTACTGTTGAAATATGATTATTTTATATACATACAAGTGAGTATTTAAAAACTTTCTCTTTTCAAATTCATTTAACAGTGATCATTTTACATTTGGCATTGAAATAAAAAAAACTGACATTTTATGTATAATAACGGATATTTAAACAACAAACTTATAATATTATTTTTTAAATATTATCGTCTTTCAATATAAAACAACACTCCCTATCATTTATAATTCTAGTAAGAATGAAGCAAACTTTCACGTGTACTATGAAATTCATAGATGATTGACAAATTTTAATAACGAATTGTAAAAAAAAAAGTGACTGAATAATTTCAATAATAGTTATAAATTTTCATTTTATTATTATAAGTATACACATAGGAATTCAGATCCCGAATATTGATGATATGTGGTTAAATTTCAAACAGATAATAGCGTTGTTTTGACGGAAGACACGGACAGCTTTATAATCGGAGAACATGTGTGGGTTGGTGGTACGAAACCAGGTCAAATCGCTTATATTGGGGAGACGCAATTTGCACCAGGAGATTGGGCGGGTATTGTTCTCGATGAGCCCATTGGTAAGAATAATTTCTTTTTAAAAATGCTCACACGTACTGCTCGTTCAATAAATTTATCAAATTTATTATATGTAATCAATATAGTTAAATAATAACGTTGATCTCGGGTATTTCATCGTCATGTAGTCATGATCTCTTAAACGCATAACTTTCCAATTACAAAGGCTAATTAAGAAAAAGATCGTTAATTGTTTTGTTAATTCGATTTGGGAAGCGCTAGTTCAAAAAGTGATCGTTAAATTTCTTAGTTTATTAACTAATTGTATAATATACGTAACTTCTTATAAATTAATTGATAATAAGGCCAATCGAATATCTTATATATTACTTTTACATTCATAAACTACTCTTCATTTTCAAAACCGAGATAAAAAAGAAATCGGAGTTGAAAGGGTATTGCGAATATTGCGTACGATATATCGTTGTTGCCGAACCAAGAGAGCGATTTATTTTAGACTTGCGTTGTTTGCAACACAATTTCAGGTAAGAATGATGGATCGGTGGCAGGTTGCCGTTACTTCCAATGTGAGCCGAAACGCGGAATTTTCTCCCGGCTGACGAGGTTAACAAGGCAGCCGATGTCAGGCGGCCTTACCTCGCCATCGGGCATCGTCTCACCGATCGAAAGCATAAAGGGAGTCCTGAACAAGTCTATGTCACCCTGTAGTAGTAGTAGTAGTAGTAGTAGTAGTAGTAGTAGTAGTAGTAGTAGTAGTAGTAGTAGTAGTAGTAGTAGTAGTAGTAGTAGTAGTAGTAGTAGTAGTAGTAGTAGTAGTAGTAGTAGTAGTAGTAGTAGTAGTAGTAGTAGTAGTAGTAGTAGTAGTAGTAGTAGTAGTAGTAGTAGTAGTAGTAGTAGTAGTAGTATTAGTATTATTATATAGAATTATTTTTTATCTTTTTCTGTACATACATTTTGTGTGTTTTCTATTATATCTCTGTGTCAATTATGTCTATCTCCTTTACCAGTTTTATTTTTCATTTTTACTTATTTTGTATACATTTTACGTACTGTTTCATCAGGAATTTTCATGGTACACACTCTGTGCGCTTGCTTCGATATATTTACTTACGACCTGTCCTACGTGTTGCCACATTCAAATGTAACAAAAAATTTACTGCGAATGTAAGATTAATTTTGCAATACATTTTAAACATGTCATATTTTGTCGTATGAGATATTTATTGAGCTATCTTTATAATAATTTATTACGATAAAGCTAGCTTGCAGTTTAAGAAATTCAATAAAAATTATAAAAATGGACCGCATAAAACTTTATTTTACGTCCTAATTAAATTTAGTTAATAATTTATATAAGCTTTTTTTTTTATTAAAAAATAATATTAGAAATTGGTTTATTAAGATGATTAGATAGCTATGAAACTGTGTTTACAAATCTGTAACTAAAATCTCTATGTATATATCTCTTTGTTTATTTTAACCGAGTTGCTTCTTGTGTTCATTATTTTATTACAAGTGAAATATTACTCATTTTACATCGATATAATAGTCAACTTTAGCTATAAGAAAAAAGGCGAACGCAATTTAAAAAAATAATATATTAATCTACGAAATCGGACTGAAGATATTTATTCATTCACTCGCGTTTTATTTCGTTGCTTCGTTATAATTATATTGCACGTCACGTCTGGTGAAGATAGAGAGATTATACTGGCGCAGCTTCTTAACTATTCAGCATTTACTCTACAAGCATCATATATACTTAGAGAACATACGTTATATAGATGCAAGCGTAGCTACAACCACAGCTCAGCTTCGCAGGTTCTAGTTACAATTAACACACTGCAATGGCGCGGCTACTATTATTGTTATTCTCATTAAAATAATTATAATCAGCGATAAAAGGGCTGTCATTGTAATTATTACTATTATTCGCTTCCGTCATGGCGTTCGCACAATAAAATTCAAAGGCACACGTAATGAATATTCGTTGATCGGTTGGCAGCTCGCGGACACTTCTGTAATGCATTATACTTAAGGATAATTGTTAACGGGGTTGCTCATCGCGCGCAGACACCTCGACGACGAGCCTGTCATCAGTGTCGCAGAAAGAGCTGCAGATCGGCGAACGAGTGATCGTGTCGTCGAGCCAAGGCAGCAAGACCGGCTTCCTCAGGTACATCGGCACGACGGAATTCGCCCCGGGTGACTGGTGCGGCGTTGAGCTGGACGAACCTCTAGGCAAGAACGATGGATCCGTTAATGACAAGAGGTGCCATCTAACATGTTTATTACACGTTAATTATACATCACCACCTAATTGAATTTTGCGAGCTGAGCTCGCCATTCGTACTATCGCAAGCATCTCTCTCACGAGTCTTGGTAAACTTATCGGCTGTCTTAAGTTTTTTTATCAATGTTATATTTTATCCTACTATTAATCCATGGAATTAATAATAAAACTTCTAGTTTGTTAGGTTATGTCACAATAAACGTACTCTGTGTTATCATTAATTTATCGGACCTGGACGATTTTTGCGATAGTATTTTTTTTTTTATTACATTTTTTATTATTAATGAAATTTTGTTATAGAATATACAAAAATTGAATATGCAATGAAAACAATATAATGAATATAATTTTCCATAAATGCTGGAAGAGATTATCTTTTTTGTATATTATAGAGGTATAAAAAGCTTTGTAAATTAAAAAATGGCAAAATTATATTATTCAATATATACAAGCTACTTTAATAGATTTAATAGCTTCGAATGTTTTTTCTATCTTTCAAATAGCTTCTTAGTCTTTTAAAAAATTTTATATCCAATATAATAAAATATGCTTTCACTTTATATATACGTTAAGTTTTAATAATGATTTTTATCATAATTAGTAAGAAAATAATTTGTTGAATTTGATGGAAATTTAATATTAATGTGTATGTTTGTTAATTGTTAACAGTTTTGCAAAATACTTTTCATATATTATTAAACAAGATTGTATATTATAACTAATATTAATAAGTATGCTGTAATGCAATACAACTGTAAGTATAAACAATGAGACACATAACCATTGCATTTTGATTCGATATATCAAATGCCATTTAGCAATGGATAAAGTTTACTGCTAACGGTACATATGATATCATATAGTCCGATATTAAAATTTGCCGCGATAAGCTATTAAAACGAAGAGTATGATAAAAGGATAAAAGAATTTTTGTCATTATTGGCTAACGTTCGAATCGACTAATCTCTGATTTTGGACCAACCGGCCCGGTTTTTAGGTACTTTGAATGTCGTCCCAAGTATGGTCTATTCGCCCCCATGCAGAAAGTGTCCCGCTCGCCCTCGAGCAGACGCTCGCATTGCTTAGTACATCGACCGACGGGCGCCGCCCTGAGCAAGTCCCTGCGCAAGGTCGGTTCGAGAGAGTCTCTTGCCTCGGTGGCAAGCATCGCCAGCGTCGCCAGCAGAGCCACCAACGCCACCGCCAGGGTAAGGTTTGCCACGCCGGAATGAAAAATCGTCACTATTGTCGTAGATCGTGGCTTCGTCTCACGTCAATTCTCACCTAACCACCCTCACTATCTCTCTCTCTCTCTCTCTCTCTCTCTCTCTCTCTCTCTA